GTAAATGCCACATAATAACCTCCAAGAATAAGAAACAGAATTGAGAAATAGGCAGAGCTTTGTTGAATGAGACTGCAAAGGCACAGGCAACTAAAGCAAAAATACACAAATGGAACTACATCAAACTAAAAAGCTTCTACACAACATGGAATACTATCAATAAAATGAAGAGACAACCTACAGAATGGTAGAAAGTGTTTGCAAACTACACATCAGACAAGGGGCTGGTATCCAGAATATATAAGGAACTCATACAACTCGACAGCAAAAAATCAAATAATCCAATTTAAAAATGGGCAGAGGTATACATTTCTTAAAAGAAGACATACGAATGGCCAACAAGCACATGAAAAAAATGCTCAAAATCACTAATCATCAGAGAAATGCAAATTAAAACCACAATGAAGTATCATCTCACCCCAGTTAGAATAGCTATTATCAACAAGACAGAAAATAACAAATGCTGGCGAGGATTCTCCTACAGTGCTGGTGAGAATGTAAACTGGTACAGCCATTGTGGAAACAGCATGGAAGTTCCTCAGAGAACTAAAAATAGATCTACCTTATGATCCAGCTATCCCACTACTGGGTATATACCCAAAAGAAATGAAATCAATATATCGAAAAGACACCTGAACTCCCATGTTCTTCACAGCATTATTCACGATAGCCAAGATACGAATCAACCTAAATGACCATCAACAGATGAATGGATGAAAGCACTGTGACATATCTGCACAATGGATTACTATTCAGCTATAAAAGAGATGCCATCCTATCATTTGTAGCAACATGGATGGAACTGGAAACCATCATGTTAAGTGAAGTAAGTCAGGCACAGAAAGACAAATACCACATGGTCTCATTCCTATGTGGAATCTTAAAAAAAAAAAAAAAAGTGGTTCTTATAGAAGTAGAGCATAGAATAACGGTTACCAGAGGCCAGGAGAGGAGGAGGTTAGGAGGAAGAGCAGTGGTAGAGTAACAGGTACAAAACTATGCTATCTACCCTAAGCGAACCATTGTGCAGTATTTGCATGTACTGAAACAACACACTGTACCCCACAAAAATAAATATAAGTTTTTTAAAAAGCTCCTAAAAAACAGAAAAAGGAAACAGAATCAACATGGGCCCTCCCCTTTCGCAATCACTACCTTCTGCCTCTTCCCCCAAAGTACCTACTATCCTTAATTTTATGGTAATTTTCTTTGTAACTTATAACCTAAGCATTTATGCCTAAATGCTATAGTTTAGTTTTTTGAACTTTCCAGAAATGGAATTACATGTCTTTTTGTGTCTGGACTGTTCTGTTCCACATTATGTTTATAGTTCATTAATTTTAAGTGAAGTATAGTATTCCATTGTATAAATATACCATAACGTATAATAACCATTTTGGTCGTTCCATTTTTGTACATGATTCTTCATGCACATGCACACATACATTCTATTAGATACAACTGCTGGGTCATAAGTATGTCTACCTTTTTAACTTTGATAATGTCAAACTTTTCCACGGTGGTAGTACCAATATAAATGCTCACCATTAGTGCATTAGAGTTCTCATTATTCTGCATCATCATCCTTTAGTATTATAAATTAGCTATTCTAACGGGAACATAATTGTGTCCCCTTGTGATTTCAATTTGCTTTTCCCTGATGACAACTGAGGTTGAACACACTTTCATATATTTATTAGCCAGTTGGATATTCTCTTTTTGAAATGCCTGTTCACTCTCTTGCTCATTTTTCCATTAGGTGTCTGTCCCTTTCTCATTAATTTATAGGAGTTCTCTGTATATTCTGGATTCAAGCCCTTTGTTGGTTACGTGTTGTAAATATCTTCTCCCACACTGGGGCTTGCACTCTTAATGTCTTTTGATGAACACAAGTTTTTAATTTTAATGTAGTAAAATTTATCAGCATTTTCGTTTGTAATTTGTACTGTTTGTGGCCTGTTTAAGAAATCTTTCCCTACCCAAAGTCAAGATGATAGTCTCCTATATTATCTAGAAATTTTATGCTTTAGCCTTTCACATTTAGATCTATACTCATGTGAAATTGATTTTTGTGTATGTTGTGAGGTCAGAGTGAAATTTAATTTCTTTCCACATAGGTATCCAATTTCTTCAGCATTTATTAAAAACACATTCTGCGGGCCGGTCCGTGGCTCACTCGGGAGAGTGCAGTGCTGATAACACCAAGGCCACGGGTTTGGATCCCATATAGGGATGGCCGGTTAGCTCACTTGGGAGAGCGTGGTGCTGACAACACCAAGTCAAGGGTTAAGATCCCCTTACCGGTCATCTTTAAAAAAAAAAAAAAAACCACATTCTGCCACTGCACTGTGGTGCCATCCTTGTCACTAATCTGTGATGGCTGTCTTTATATTTTGTTCCATTGCTGTTTGTCAATCCTTGCACCAATTTACACTGTTTTAATTAGTGCAGCTTTATAATAATTCTAAAAATTCAAGAAAGCAAGTCCTTCCACCTGTTTCTTTTCTTTTCTTTCTTTTTGGTTTGTTTTTGCCGCTGGCTGGTACAGAGATCCGAACCTTGTTTCTTTTCAATACTGTCTTGACTATTTTAAGCCCTAGGCATTTCTATATAAATTTTTAAATCAGTTTGTCAAGTTTCTCAAAAATAAGTGAATAAATGAAATAAAATCCAAGCAATATTCTGATTGAGATTGAATCTATAGATCAATTTTAGAAAAGTTGATATCTTTATATTGAGTCTTCTGATCCATAAACATAGTATATCCCTCCACTTATTTAAGTATTATTTAATTTTTCAATACTGTTTAATAGTTTTTTGCAAAGATGTCCTATACATTTTATTGTTGTTTTTGCTGCTGTTGCATTCAGTGATAGGTATTTGATATTTTTGATGTTATTGTAATAACTTTTTTTCAATTTCCTTTTCTAAATCTGTTGCTGATGTATGAAAAAGATAAGTAGATTTTTATATATGGACATTGGTTCTCTCTTTTCTTCCCATCAGTTTCATGAAAATGCTGCTCCATTGGTATCTTGCTTTGTATGCTGATGTTTAGAAGTCTGACAGCAACCTGATTTTTATTTTTGGTGGCTGGTCGGTATGAGGATCCAAACCTCTGACCTTGGTGTTATAAGGCTGAGCTCTAATCAACTGAGCTAACTGACCAGCCTTTTTATTATGTTGTGACTTTTTCATTTTGCATGGGAACCCAGTAGGAAGCTTCCTATCTGAGGTAATTGCCCCTTCACATCCAAGGAACCACCCACACTTTCTCACACAAACCTGCCCTCTTAATAGCTGGCATCATTTTCTGAACTACAGGTCTCTGGTATCCATGTACTTCCTAACTATCATCTTTTTTTCCAGTTTTGACTTGAGCACTGGTTTTTAGTAACTCTAGGGATTTAACTTGACTTCATCTTGATAGTTCTTATTTGTTCCAAGGCTTGCCTTGGATCTTCTAGTCCTGGTTTCTTGATGATCAGAATATTTGAATGATATTATGCTTTAGTTTTACTTTGGCTGAATGTAATAACTGAGAATGTAGTCCAAGAGGATGAGTTTCACAACCAAGTGTTTGCTGCTGTCTGGAAAACTCTATTATAAACAAGTGTTTAAGGAAAGAGAACAAAGGGGGATCATGATGATAGCTGGGTAGGGAGTTAACTGGCAGAGTTCCAGGTCTGAAGTTTCATTGATAGTGTCCAGTTTGGAGGGCTTAAAAGGATATCGATATAAATATCTTCTATTTTATTTTTTATTTATTTATTTATTTTAAAAAGATGACCGGTAAGGGGATTTTAACCCTTGACTTGGTGTTGTCAGCACCACGCTCAGCCAGTGAGCCAACCGGCCATCCCTATATGGGATCCGAACCCGTGGCCTTGGTGTTATCAGCACCACACTCTCCCTAGTGAGCCACGGGCCGGCTCCAAATATCTTCTATTGTAAAAGTCAGGGAACTAAAGAGGAATGTTAAATTATGGGAGAGGTTTTCAGGGGAAAAAAACTTAGGAAGTTACTTAAACAGTCTATTCACTAGAGAGAAAACCTAAGCACAAACTTGTTTTTGTGAAGCTTCCCAGAGAAGGAAAATAGTTTTAAATATATATAAGCTATAAGCAGAAGGTTAACAGGAATGATGATGTCAAGACCAATACCAGAGGTACTTTGTAACTGGCAAATACAAAATAAGAAAGGAATTATAAAATTCATCCATTAAAAGGTGAGAGGTTCAGATCCCCGTACCGGCCAGCTGCCAGAAAAAAAAAGGGCTAGTAATAGTAACCCTTCAAAAATAATTCTTCAAAATGTATTTTTAAAATATGAAGATTTCCTGCTCTGAAGCATAAACTTGTCCAAATAGCTAGTCAATGAAAAGCTGATATTAGACCATACTTCATAACTTCCTAGACTGCTAATAGAAAAGTTGTTAGTTATCTAATAGAGCTAGTTTCTAACTTAGTTTGTAGCCGAAACTTTGTTTTGCAAGTCAGTTGCTTAAAACATGGGATGCATTTTTGCATAGAAATAAATTTGATATGAGGCGAGGTCATAATGACCAAAGCTCATCAAATCTACTTTGTACTTGAAATATAATACAAATGACATCATTAAAACTAACCATCATGTATAAGAAGGTTTGCAACATGCTTAATGTCCTATCTAGGAATATACTTTCCCATCTGGGAGGTTAGAATACAGGAGACTGCCTGAGACAACGTCTCCTGGAGGGAAGGAGTGAGTGGTGTAGTTGGGGTGGGATGTGAGGGTAAAAACAAACTAAGAGCTAGAGAGGGTTGGAGTCTCCCAGTTCCAGTTCTCCCTATTCCAGACACACTTATACATTCCCTGGCCAGCTTGTTAGTTACTATCTTTATATCTTCAATAGTAAAGGCACCCCAGGAGAAACAGTCTTTCATACATAACTTTCCTTTGCTTGAGAAAGATGGCTATTTTAGCTGAGTCACTTTTGTAGATCTCAAGGTAATTCTTACCTGTACTTCAAATTGCCGTTCTTTTTTGACATTAATTAGCTGTTTTTGAAGAGATTTTATCTGTTTTCTTCCTTTTTCCTCCCTAGAAGAAATAAAAATGATGTGTGCTTAGAGCAGTGCTTCTCAAACCTTAGTGTTCATAAGGATCACCTGGACATTAAAAACCACATTCCTGGTCTCTACCCACAGAGATTCTGAGTCTGCAGGTCTGGGATAGGGCCCCGGCATTTGCATCTCTAACTAGTTCCCAGGTGATGCTAATTGTCCATAATATCTAAGAAGACAGTGATTTGTTTTAGTGAATTGGAGGAAGACTTTCTGGCTCATCAGTATTGCATCTAAAATAGCTGCTGCTAAACATAAAAAAAGGAAAGAAAAAAATAATAAATAATAAATAAATAAATAAAATTGCTGCTTAGAAAAAACCAAGAGGACGAGGAACAAAGAGGAAAAAAAGAATCCTTTCTATTCTGAGCACTTTAATTACATATTCTTACCTCACAATAAACTTTTGAGGTAATCTATCATTATCCTTATTTTATAATGAGAAAAATGTGGCTTAGAGGGCTAAGGGAATTTGGTGTGGTGGACATGAGAATGTACCTCACAGACCTTCAACTACAGGAAGCATAAGTGAACAGGGTCATAGCTTCAGCTCTGAAATCCTTCGCTGTGTGTGCTCTGAGGCCACACTTCCCACAGACTGTTCCAGCCAGTGATTGATTGTGGCAGAGACCCTACGGCAGGCCTTTTCTGGGAAAACCAGGACTTCTCTGATGGTTGACTTTGGCTCAGAAACATCCTGATGACCTTGTTGAACCACCCTCAGACTGCACAGCACCCTCTTCCACCCAACCTTCCCTCGCCTTTACTTATGGTCAGTCTTGCATCTGAAGGCTCCCTCCCCATTTTCTCTCACAGAGGTGTTTCCCTTAATTAAATCCCTGCATGAATAATCCCATCTTGGCATGTATTTCTCAGGAGACTTGGACTAATACACTTGCCATGGTCACATAAACAAAAAATAGCAGAACAGTGTTTAAACTCTGTACTGTCTGAGAACTTAACTATTTTACATTACTGTCTCTCAGTTTGCTCTGAGAAACAGAATTCTGCTTCTCTCCATCAGTCGCATTATGTAGGCTTAAAACAAAATAACAAAATAACACAAGAATAAACAAAACAACCAAAAAAACTTATCACTATAGGTAAGAATTTTTACTCAGGGATTTTTACAAGCATGTACTAGAATCTTGCAATTGTCATTGCCAAAACAAACTATAGATTATGTACTTCCCATTTATAGATCACAAGAAACAGATAAGAAAGATGCAGAATACTTTACTATTAAATTCAGCATCCCAAGGACAAATTCATTTAAATAAATTGAAACATTTATATGAGATTACAAAAGTAAATGCCCATTTTAGAAAATCTAGAAAATGCAAAAAAGTATGAAGAAAAATAAAAATCACCCATAATCCCACTATCTAGAGTCAACTGTGGTGCTGGCCAGTTAGTTCAGTTGGTTAGAGTGTGTTGCTAACCACCTGACGTCCCTGTACTGGCCAACCACCAAAAGAAAAAGAGTTAACTATGGTTAATTTATTATATTTCCTTCTGGTCAATACACACTATAATTTTTCTCTTACAAAACTGGAGTTGGGCCGAGCCTGTGGCGCACTCGGGAGAGTGCGGCGCTGGGAGCGCAACGACGCTCCCGCCGCGGGTTCGGATCCTATATAGGGATGACCGGTGCGCTCTCAGCGCTCACTGGCTGAGCGCACTGCGGCCAGTCTCAAAAAGGACAAAAAACAAAACAAAACAAAACAAAAAAAACCTGGAGTTATATATAATTTTTATCCTAATTTTTTCCCTTAACATAATTATGTGTACTTTCTCTTTTCATTTAGCAGTTGAATACATGCATTTATTTCTGTCTTTTCTTGAAACAATATTGAAATAATAGGAAAGAATAATAAACAAAGGCAGCTCAGTTGGTTAGAGCACAGCCTTATAACACCAAGGTCATGGGTTCAGATCCCCATACTGGCCAGCTGCCAAGAAAAACCAAGTGCAGAACAAAAAACCCTATAAAGACAAAGAGACTGGGAAAAGAAACAATGCAAATAAGAGAAGTCAACAGAAAAGAGAAAAATGAAATCTAAATGTACACAGAATGAGAAACCAAGAAGAAAACTGAATCAAGCTGCAGACCCCAGAAAAGCACATGGAGGCACCAGGCACCTTTGAGGTCAGAAGTATGATGTAAGGCTAAATGAAAGTGGATTGGTTGAAAGTCTGGCAAAGGAGCAATATGACCTTTTGATTCCCTTCCCCGGCCCTTGGGGTCACTGTCTCACAGATAATGGGTTTTTGTTAGTTTTTGCTTTGTTTCCTGGAAAGGTTGAATTAGGGATTTGGACTTGGAGATACCAGACACAGCTGGAGGTGGAGATTATGGGTCATGCTAAAAACAGGGGGACTGAATAAAATTCTGCTTACTGAATGTGAATCCCCAACCTCTTTCTCCTGGCTAGCTCTCAATACATGGGTAATCAGAGAATAACCATTACTTCTTCTCTGCTCCTCACCCACCCCAACTACAGACTGGCATATTCTTTTCCAAGAATGCAGACTAAACCAAGAGAAAAGATCTATAGATTTGCCCAGCCATCCAATAGTGAAGTACTATCCACATGTACAGAGCATCCAATCAGCTTCTCAGTGCCTCACTCTTAAACACAAAGAGACAGCCAAAGATAATCAAACATTTAAAGGATTCCTTTAACATTAAAGACAAAGACTCAAACAAACTGGGCAGAAAAAGTAACTCAGAGGAAAGAGAGATAATACAAGGAACAGAAGACAGCTTTAGGGTTGGCTGGTTGGTTCAGTTGGTTAGAGCATGGTACTGATAACACCAAGATCTAGGGTTTGATCCCTGTACTGGCCAGCTGCAAAGAAAAAAAATAAAAAAATACCTTAAAAAAAAAGACAACTCTGGGCCCGGCCTGTGGCTCACTCGGGAGAGTGCGGTGCTGATAACACCAAGGCCACGGGTTCGGATCCCATATAGGGATGGCCGGTTCGCTCACTGGGTGAGCGTGGTGTTGACAACACCAAGTCAAGGGTTAAGATCCCCGTACCAGTCATCTTTTTTAAATTTTTTTTCCTTTTTGTCTTTTTTACTGACCGGTAATGGGATCGCAACCCTCGGTGTTGCACCCGCACCGCACTCAGCCAGTGAGTGGGAACCAGTCTGCAGGTGGGATCCAAACCCTCGGCGGGAGCGCCACCACGCTCCCAAGCGGCACACTCTCCAGTGCGCCACCGGGCCAGCCCCGGTCATCTTTTTAAAAAAAAAAAAAAAAAAAGACAACTCTGAAAAAAACAACAACAACTGTAATTAATATTCTCAGACATAAGAGAAAATATTGCATCCTTGAAACAAGAAAAGGTTGCTATAAACAATGAAAAATTCAGAGAACAAGAAAGCTCTTAGGAATAAATCTGTTAGCATAAAATTTTTTTACAGTTTAATAAAAGGGTTGGTAGATAAAGTTAAGCATATCTCTCTGAGAATAGAACAAAAACAATGCAGATAGTAAATGAGCAAGAAAGGATAAGAAAAATGCAAGATCAATCACTATAGTTTCAACATCTGGAAAGAGTAACAGAAATCAAGGGATTTTTTTTTTTTTTTTTTTTTTGTAGTGGTGGTAGCTGGCTGGTAAGGAGATCCAAACCCTTAACCTTGGTGTTTTAACGTTGTGCTCTAACCAACTGTACTAACTGGCCAGCCCCCAAGAGATGAAATTATCAAAGAACTAATACAGGAAAATCTCTCAATTTAGGGACATGAGTCTCTAGACTGCAAAGACTCACGGATCACCAAGAACTATGAACAGAAAAAGACCTACCCCAAAGCATATTATCATAAATTTCTGAAACTAGAGATAAAGAGAAGATCCTAAAAGATTCCAAAGAGGAAATAAACAGGTCACATGTAAAGAAACAGGAATTAGAATGGTATCAGACTCCACAGTGGCAATACTGGAAACTAGAAGTCAGTGGAGTATTGCCTTTAAATTTACGAGGGAAGATGATTTTCAATCTAAAAACCTGATCCCCAGTCAAACTACTAATAAAGTATAAGGATAGAAAATGACATTTTCAGCAAATGCTGATTGGTCATTTCAAAGTTACTCTCATTATAGTGTTAAAGCAGTGGGGACTTTATCATGCCAGCTCAGGTTCACTGGGCCCCTTCTGATTGATTGCTGTGAATTTCCTGTTTTTTGGAAAACTGGCCAGTTTTAAAGTTCAGTTTTATTTATTAACACCTAGCAGGAGTGCTCCATTCTGGTTTGGTCCGGTCTGTTAGGATGTAGTGCAAGAGCTCAATCCAAAACAATGGCCTCCCATAAATATTACTCAACTGTGTCTAGGTTATGTTCAGCTGTCTACCATGGAATGGGAAAAATCCTGGTGTGGCTTTCATATTATTAGGGACCAATGACAGATGTGACCTGTAAGGTTTGCAGCTGAGTTCCTGTGAGGAGCTTTGAGGCTACAGCTTTTGCAAGCAAAGGGGCTGTTCTGTCTCCTTTGGCTCACCTTTCTGAAGTAAAGGCTGAAATGAAATTTATACCACACGATTCTTGGCCCTTTGACAAAAATCTCAAAAGGCTTTAATCCCTGGCAAATTCCCACCTGACTCATTTTTGTTTTGAGAAACACAGTGATCTATCTCTCCTGGATAATACTGAAGAGAGATACATATTAAAAGAGTAAGTAAGAAGGATTCTTGACCAAAGGGGATTTAAGCTGAGGATTTTTGCATGTTATTAATTCTTCCTGAGGGACAGATATGCACACATCTCACAGGTAGAATGAATACTTTAAGTGTGTTTTAAGCACCCTCTGCTCCTGGAAGAAGGAAAAATCATTTCATGGCAGGCTCCATGTGGGCTTTCCCCAAGAATCACCCATTACACCTATCTTTTATCCATTGTTCTATTTACATATTGGTGTTTTTCTTATTGTTTTGTAAAATTTTATTGTATAGTGAATTCAATTACCATCAAGAGAAGTTTCACTTAAAACTAAACAGAGGCTGGAGGAGGCTGGCAGGTTAGCTCCTCAGTTGGTTAGCGTGCAATGTTGATAACAGCAAGGTCAGGGTTCAGATATCGGTACCTGACAGCTGCCAAAAAAAGAGAGAGGACGGCCACAGGGACAGAGGTGGGGGAGAGACTGCTAATGAGTACAGGGCTTCTTTTGGGGGATGGTGAAAATGTTCCGGAATTAGATAGTGGTGATGACTGCACAACTCGATGAATATACCCAAAACCACTGAATTGGACAATTTAAAAGGATAAATTTCAAGGTGCTGACAAAGTCTCTCTCTGTGACTCCTCTGAGCCCTTTTTGCCACTAGGCCTTGACCTTGGTCTCCTTCCCCTGGATCCTTGCCAAGCCTAGATTGCCCAGTTTTAGAAAGAATCCTAAACCAGTTTATTTGTTTACTTAATTTTTTAAAATGCTAAGTCAATTTAGAGAGAATCCCCCCCTTGATATTTTATTATCCTATATATCTGATCAAATTCCCTACCCCCAACTCTCGATGTCTAAATCCTTAGCCTTTAGCAAGAATTCTGTTCAGAAGTTTAGCAAGAATCCTGTTAAGTAGTTTAGCAAGAATCCTCCTACCCTTGATATTTCTCTCCTCTTAGTAATTTTCCATCCAATGACCCCCTCACTCTGCCGGATGGCTATAAATCCCCAGCTGTCTTTGCTGTATTTAGAGTTAAGCCAAATCTCTCTCCCTATTGCAATAGTCTTGACACTTATCATAAGAGTCTTGAATAAAGTCTTCCTTACCATTTTAAAAAGTGTCAGAATAATTTTTTCTTTAACAGTATGTTAATAATATCTCAATAAGACTAAGAAAACAGGTAAATAAAAAAGTTAAAAAAACAAAAAAATTTTAAAAATAATATCTCAATAAAGCCCTTATAAAAAAAACTGAATAGAAAATCTTCTCTATCTTAGGGCCAGCCTGGTGGTGCACTGGAAAGTGCGCCGCTTGGGAGCGTGGCTGCGCTCCCGCCGAGGGTTCGGATCCCATGTGGAGACCGGTTCCCACTCACTGGCTGAGCGGAGTCATTGCATAATGCCATCTGAAAAGTTGAAATTACATACATATCACACCGAAGGCAGAAGTAACAGTGTTCAGTAGCTAGGAAACAATTCATAGGACTCTGGGAGAGTCCTATCCACATTCTTAGGGAAAATCATATCTGCTGTTATCAGTAAATCTAACATGTTGTGCTATTGTGAATGTGTCACTTACCCCCTCACTGTTTCTGCCTCTGCATTTCCCAGTCCACTGCACCCTAAGTATGGCTTTCCTACAGGTCCCATGCACCCCTATTCCTGTTATCTTCCTGGCTTACCATGGATAACATTAAAAAAATAACCCTTTCGGGCCTGTCCGGTGGTGCACTGGAAAGTGTGCCGCTTGGGAGCGCAGCGGCGCTCGAGGGTTGGGATCCCATGTGGAGATTGGTTGCCGCTCACTGGCTGAGCGCGGTGCGGGCAAGACACCGAGGGTTGCGATCCCGTTGCCGGTCCCCGGTGCGGGCGCGACACCGAGGGTTGCGATCCCATTACCGGTCAGTAAAAAAGACAAAAAAGGGAAAAAAAAAAAAAAAAAAGAAAATCTTCTCTATCTTATACCCATCACTAAACTCTATGTGACTTTAAAAGTACCAATCACACAATACCTAAAATACTAAACAATTTGTCATTGATTTATCTAGATATATTTTTCTAGATATAATTTTAGATATAATTTTCCAATTTAAATAAATCACAATTGATGCCTATGTAATTGGAAGAAAAATTAAAAGAAGAAATTATAAATGAATAATCATATACATAAAGTCAATCGCTGGCAAACTGTCCACATTGAGTGTTTGACTATTTTTTTCCTCCTATGTAATGGTACAGACATTTCTTTTTTATTTTTATTTAAATAAATTTTTTGAAATTAAAATAATAAATGCATATTGTAAAATTTCAAAACAGAATAGAAATGTACAAGAAAAAAGAGAATAATCTGCTACCTCCCTTTTCTCTTCCAATTTCACTCCTATAAGGTAGCCAATGCTGGCTGGCTGGCTGGTTAGCTCAGCTGGTTAGAGAGTGGTGTTAATAACACCATGGTCAAGGGTTCAGATCCCCTTACTGGCCAGCCACCACAAATAAACTTTTTTTTTTTTTTTTTTAAGATGACCGGTAAGGGGATCTTAACCCTTGACTTGGTGTTGTCAGCACCACGCTCTCCCAAGTGAGCTAACCGGCCATCCCTATATAGGATCCGAACCCGAGGCCTTGGTGTTATCAGCACCAAATTCTCCCAAGTGAGCCATGGGCCGGCCCTCACACATAACCTTTTTAAATTTGTGTTTGCAGCTGGCCAGAACTGTGATCCAAACCCTTGACCATGGCATTATAATATGTATAATTTGTTTATATATTTTTAAATAGGTTTATTTTCTCCCTTGATAAAGCAAAAATGTAGAAAATACTGAAAAGCGAAAAGACTTTAAAAAACCCCTATATTAACACATTGGTGTATTTCCTTCTAGTTCTTTTTCTATACATATTTTTGTTAGTTTTATTACATAAATAGGATGAAAGGGCCTACTTTATTAGGTGAAGGTCATTTTTATCTAAGTTCCTTGAAGAAAAGGCCTGTGCCTTGTAAAAGTAAATAATGTCTGAATTAAAGAGCATGGAGTTGGGGCAGAGAATAATGTAAAACTTTGACGTCAGTCATAATTTTACTGTGTTCAGAGAAGGGCACTTTGAGTAATAGGAAAGAGAAGCTCTATCAACTCACCATGAAATACAGCAGGACTAAACCTTAGGAGACTGGGATCTTTATGGGATATAAGTTATATGTTATTAGAGACTGAAAATGTGGTAGAAAGAATCCTGGGGAAATGGTGGCTTCCTTCTCCATTGAAGGACAATAGCTGTTGTTTACTAAAGAGTGGTGAAACATTCATCTTATACTTGAAATTGAAGGGATAAGTTACCGCGGAGAGCTTAATCAAAAGAACTAGAACAGCATGTTCTTTTTTTTTTTTTTTTTTTCCTTTTTGTCTTTTTTCATGACCGGCAACGGATCGCAACCCTCAGTGTCGTGCCCGGACCGGACCGGGACCGGCAATGGGATCGCAACCCTCGGTGTTGCTCCCGCAACTCGCTCAGCTAGTGAGCGGCCGGTCTGTATGTGGGATCCGAACCCTGGGCGGGAGCGCCACCGCACTCCCAAGTGGCACACTGTAGCAGTGCGCCACCGGGCCGGCCCCAGAACAGCATGTTCTTGAATAGGATTCACATTTAACTGTTGGCATCATATTTTTCTACTGTTTTATTCACAATGTATGATACATCTCATGTCTTAATTAATAAAATTGTTTTTATAGTTTAAAAAGCCCTATATTAACTCATTGGTGTATTTCCTTCTAGTTCTTTTTCCATAGATACTTTTCTTTATTTTATTACATAAATGTAATAATACTGTATTATTTCCAACCTTTCTTTTTCTATGCAAATCATGGCATAAACATTTTTTCCACATTATTAAACTTTGTGAACAATACTTTTAACAGCTTTGTAATATCATCAATTAAACTATAGACTATCTTTGAGTCTGTAATTCTACATCTAGTAATTCAACCTAATGGGATAATAACAGATTCAGACATTTGCTTATGTATACTTATGTACAAAAATGTACACAGAAGCATCTGAAAACAACCTAAATATTTAAACTCAGAGAATGGTTAAAGAAACTTTAGATTTTTAGAAAATATTATAAGATTAAAATTGAAATTAGGGGTATGTATTTTTATTTCCACAGATAAATAAATCACTTTTCAGAAAGTTGTACCAATTCATTCTCCCACCAGCAATGTATGCAAGTGCTTATTTTCTTGCTTCCTATAATAGAGGCTATAATAGTGGCTATAACGGTCTATCGTAGTGGCTATCATTGTTATTAGGTACTTACTATGTGCCAGGAGCTATCTTAAGTGCTTTACACGTATTAATTAATGTTCATAATAACTCTAGTACAGAAGTTATTACCAATACCAAGGAAGGAAAGAAGAGAAAAAAATCTCAAGGAAAAACAATTCCACCTATGTAGACAAGATAAACACTTTTTCATTCTGCGTATATATGCGTTCATATAAAGTGAATCTTATTTTGGTCCCAAAGCATTTTGATTGTGTTGAATATTCTCTTTTTTTCCCCTTCCCCTCAACCTGTGTTGAATATTCTTAAAGCATGAACATCTTTGAAATAAGTTGAAAGGTTCTAGGAAAGAAAACTTCCCTTGGCATGTACTTGTTACTGTTCAAGGATTTTCAGACAACTCAGTCTTAAGAAAGATTACTATAGGAGAATGAATATTCTTGGTATATTATAGATACAGATAACTAAGGCCCAGAAACCTGAGTTATTATCCTAGTAGAGCTAGAAATAGAACCAAAATTTCTGACTTCTATTTATCTTCCCTGAAAATCACATGTTTGGTTTGCTTTAGAAATCAAAGACTTCCAGTAAGAGTTTTATAGCATTGTAAAACACAGCTAAGCAAATAAACCTAACATTACTCTGACCTGGCAATGACATCATAGAAATGCTTTTTATTTTCCCTCTCTTTGCTCAAAGCTTGCAGGAGATTGGTGAAAGTGCCTGAATCTTGCAACTCCTGCATAGTATTTGCAATCACATCACTGAGAAATTGCCTGTAAGGAGAAATAAAAAAGATGAGTTAATAAGATATATTTCCCTACATTCACAAAGGGCTACATAAATCACATAAGTTACGACCCAGAAGGAACATCATAACTATGTTATTATTATCCTAGGAATACCTAGCATTAAAATAGTTTAGCATTAAAAAAAAAATCTATGAATAGAATTCACCACATTAATGAAGGCTAAAAGAGACAAATCACATGATCATCACAATACAGGAAAGGCATTTGGCAAAATTCAACATTCACTCATCATTTGAAAACAACAAAAACAACAAAAAAACTCTTAGCAAACTAGAAATAAAAGAGAACTTTCTTAACCTGAAAAAGTTTGCATACCAAAAACCAGCAACAAATATTGAATGTACAGTATGAAACTATGTATATAACGTTTTAAAACATGTAAAACTGCTCTGCTCTCTCTCTCTCTTGCTCTCTCTGCTCCACCCTTTTCACAATGTGATAACCTGCCCTCTCTGTTGCCACCACCAAGGCCCTCACCAGAGGTGTGCCCTGGACTTTGGACTTCCCACCCTCAGAAACTGCAAGCAATAAATTTCGTTTTCTTTATTATAAAAAAAAATGTAAAACTACTTGTATCATTTAAATAAAACACATAAATACATAATAAAACTATCATAACATGAAAGAGAATAATAAACACCAAATTCAGAAGTGTGTTTATCTTTGGGGAAAGAGTGAGGAGATTGGGATTAGAGCCTTCAATTATATCTGAAATATTTCATTTCTTTAAAAAAAAAAAAAAATCCTTGGGCCGGCCCCGTGGCTCACTCGGGAGAGTGTGGCGCTGGTAGTGCCGAGGCCACGGGTTTGGATCCTATATAGGGATGGCCAGTGCGCTCACTGGCTGAGCGTGGTGCAGACCGCACCATGCCAAGGGTTTTGATCCACTTACCGGTCAAAAAAAAAAATTAAAAATTAAAAAATAAATAAATAAATAAATAAGTAAAACCTCTAAAGCAACCATGGTAAAATGCTAAAATTTGGTGGTTACATACATAAATATTTATTATTTTTTCTTTATACTTTTCTGCATTTTAAAAATATTTCATAATTTTGAAGTTAAATCATTTATTTATTTATTTAGGCCACTGGCCAGTACAGGGACCCAAACCCTTGACCTTGGTGTTATCAACTGTAAACTCTAACTGAGCTAACTGGCCAGCCCATGAACTTAAATCATTTAAAATTTTAAAAAAAGAAAAAGAAAAAAGAAAGAGCTAATCAAACCCTCACATTTTAGAGATGAGTGAACCCAGGCTTAGGAAGGTTAAGTGACTTGCCCAGTGACACGTAACTTGTTCGAGAAAGAGCTGGAACGATATAACCCAGGTTTCCTGACTCCTAGTCCAATTACTCTTTATCATATTTTCCTAAGTGGAGAGTTTTTAAAACTGCCATTTAATGTTTTGATACAGAGTTAGCAAGAATTCCTCTTATTATTTTACATAACAGTTTATTAACAATAGTTCACAAAAAGATTCAATAACCATATTAAGAAAAATAGTTGACTATACTGGAGTCAAGAAACTGAAAAATAAGAATTTGAGCAACAATAATTTTTCTCTTGCATAGTATTAAATAAAATTTATAAAAGGCCATTGGTTTAGATTGAGCCCCTGCACTAGGCCCAACAAACCAAACTCACACTAAAGTTCCAAGCCAAGAAGCCAAAACTAAGTTGTTTACCTGATCTTCCAAGAAATCAGGAGAGAGAGATAACTGCCAAATCACCAAACAGACCACTTTGCCAGAAGGAATAAGAAAGTCCCCTCTGCTTTAACCTTTACAAGGAAATTAACTTTGAAATGACCACTCTGCTTTTTGTTCTCTGTGTCTGCTTTCTTCAGTCTTTTTCTGCCTATAAAGCCAACCTCCTCTACTCAGCTCATCCGAACACTCACACTACTTTACAGAATGAGGTATTGTCTGACTCCAGAATTGCAAATAAAAGCCAATTAAGACAGTAGTATGTTAAGATAAAATAACTAAAAATTCTTATTTCAATTCAACAAGATTATAATGCATAAAGATGATTAGAGCAAGGAAAGCATACACAAACTTGCTACAAATTCCAATTTTAAATTCATAAGCTGTTGTAGTTTTTATGCCTTTGATATTTTGATTTCCACTTTGGTTCTGTATAACTGATGGAAATATACATTTCAAGATTACACATCCCCCTGGGTTTCAAGACGAGTTTGATACGGAATATAACCCAGGACTAATGCCCTAAAAATAATCTGAGATTGGTATCTTGGCCTTCTCAGGAAAAGATATGTCATCACACTGAGAATGAAAAGGACATTAAGTAGATCAGGCAATCATGTGTGCAAATCTGAGCCAGATTGATTTTGACAAAAGATATTACCTTTGGTTAGGATCTAATATAGGGGTCAACAAACTTTTTTCTCTAAAGGGACTAATTAGTAAATTTTTTTGGCTTTGCAGGCCATAAATTCTCTTTTGCAACTACTCACCTCTGCCATTGTAGCATGAAAGCAGCCATAGACAATGTATGAACAAATGGAAAATGCCATATTACAATACACTTTTCAAAAACAGAATTCAGCTTGGATTCAGCTAGTGGCCCTGGGTAATTGCTGTAAACTATCATTTACCAAAAGTCCTTACCATAATGTTACACCCTCTTTTAAACTTAACAGTCCTGTTAGAGAGCCATCTGACAACAGAAAAACTAAATAATGAGATGATGAAAATTGAGTCTGCCTTTAAGAAACCCTCAGAACTAAAACACAGTTTAGAATTTGGCTACTTTGGAGGCCGACCCATGGCTCACTCAGGAGAGTGTGGTGCTGATAACACCAAGGCCACGGGTTCGGATTCCATATAAGGGATTGGGCCAGTTAGCTCACTTGGGAGAGCGACAACACCAAGCCAACGGTTAAGGTCCCCTTACTGGTCATCTTTTAAAAAAAACCTTAATTGGGCCGGCCCGTGGCTCACTCAGGAGAGTGTGGTGCTGATAACACCAAGGCCACGGGTTCGGATTCCATATAGGGATGGCCGGTTCGCTCACTGGGTGGGCGTGGTGCTGACAACACCAAGTCAAGGGTTAAGATTTCTGTTACCGGTCATCTTTAAAAAAAAAAAAAAAAGATTTTGGCTACTTTGATAGAGGCTGTCTCTTATTAATGGATAAGTTATCATAGTAGCTGCCAATTGTGCCAGGCACTAGGCTAAAGCCTTATTTCTAATCCTTATACTAATGTTGAAAGGTTGCTATCATTATCCTCATTTTTAAAAACTGGAAACAAGGGCTGGCCAGTTAGCTGAGTTGATTAGAGTACAGTGTTATAACACCAAGGTCAGGGATTCAGATCCTGGTACAGGCCAGCTGCCAAAGAAAACCGAAAAAACAAAACAAACAAAAAACCCCACAACCACAACCACAGGAAAATTGAAAACAAAGGCTCAATAAACTTGTCCAAGATCATATACCCACCATGCTTTCAATCCTACCACATTGCCTCTAGGCAGTCTTTAGCTAATCCTGTTATCAGGAGTCGCTTGAATATACAGAAATGACTAACCCATAAGAGAAGGGAGCAGTCAGCCACCCTTGCACCCATTCTATCATCTATGTATAAATACATTATTTCATTACAAAATATGCTCTCCTTCCTTACCTATCAATCTGAATTTTCTTCAGTGTCTCCATAGTCATTATGGTCTGCCTTGTAGGTTTTTTGAAGACAAGATCCTGCATTTTGTTAAATTCCATGGCAAATTGGCCTCCTTGACTGATTTCTGGCAACTTGGGTCCTTCATTAGGTAAGAATGGACTAGTCATTTTCAAAGCTGTTGAGACCATCGGTAGTTTGTCCAGGCTTTTTCCTTGTAAATTTATTTCTTTTCTTTTCTTTTTTTAAAAAAATAAATTATGTTAAGATGTAAAGAGACAATATTATAAAAAAGAGGGCCTCTGTCTACATTTTTTAACCTCATCTTCTCCCACTTGTACTCTATACTCCAAGAAAATGTGCCTTTTTCTTCAGCCACACCGAACCACATGTCCTGCTGTTTTGTGTCTTCTTGCACTCATACAACATTCCCTTTCTCTGTCATTCCCCAACTTACCACCTGGTAAATTTTAAGACTCTGATCAGAGGTAAAGTTCTTTGTGAAATATCTCTGTTAACAGATATTTACAATATTGTAATTATTTGTGAAATATCTCCAACAGGTTATAGGTTGTATGAGGGAAGGGACACTGTCTTAGAAGATCTTGGTCCACTTCAATTTTTTTTTCTTTCTTTCTTTCTTTCTTTTTTTTTTTTTTTTTTTGGTGGCTGGCCAGTACCAGGACCCTTCAACCTTGGTGTTCTAACCAACTGAGATAAATGGCCCGCCCCCTCAATTTTTTTTTTTTTTTTTCTTTTTTTCTTTCTTTTTTTTTTTTTTTGGTGGCTGGCCAGTACCAGGACCCTTCAACCTTGGTGTTCTAACCAACTGAGATAAATGGCCCGCCCCCTCAATTTTTTTTTTTTTTTTTCTTTTTTTCTTTCTTTTTTTTTTTTTTTGGTGGCTGGCCAGTACCAGGACCCTTCAACCTTGGTGTTCTAACCAACTGAGATAAATGGCCAGCCCCCTCAATTTTTTTTTTTTTTTTTTCTTATGGCTAGTCTCAAATTCTTTTTGGAATAAGACTGAATATTAAGTACATGTGGCCATCTTTATAGTCCCATTGCTTAGAATAATGCCTAGGGTAGAGACTCAAATGTTCATTGGGTCTGGCTGGTTAGCTCTGTTGGTTAGAATGTGGTGTTATAACACCAAGGTCAAGGGTTCAGATCCAACCAGCTGCCAAAAAGAAAAAAAAAAAAAAATCACTGAACACATGAATTTGAAATATAAAGAATGAAAGAAGGATCATACTAAAAAGAAGAGGTTGATAGTAGATTTAGTGGTGTGGTATTGATTTTGAGGGTCACATAGGGAAAAGCCAAAATAATTTATTTTTCAGACCCAAACTTGAATATTAAGGGACCATAGGAAGGGCATGTCTTTTAATTAATGATTCCTATTTAATCTGTGGCTAAAAGCTTGAGCTATTGAGAGACCATATAATATAGTAATTACACTATACTATATGGACTCTGAAGCCAGACTTCCATGTTTGAATTCCAGCTTGTTAAAATGTACCGCAAAGGACAGACAAAATGGACTTACTGTGGTAAAAAGAGACATTGAGATTGTTAAAACCAAATGGCTGCAGCAGGAGGGAAAGGGCAGACATGTAATTCTCAGCCTGCAAATATGTATCTTACTAACTGTTATGAAGTTTTCTTTTCTGAAACTAAACAAAAGCAACTCTGAGAAGATAAGGCCAAATCAGCTATAGCTAGGAATTCTGCATTGACCTTCAACAAGTCCACCTGACACCAGCCATCAACCCCTTCTCATTCTTGAGGGTCCATTATGGCTTCAATTAGAAAACATACTTCAAGGACATTCTTCTCCCGCTTCTCCAACAAGAGAGGCCACATCAAAACCAGCCACAGCTAATCTATGGAGCCTGTGCAATAACACACCCTTATGGCATGTTCACTCACGGCGCATGTGTATAGCCTCCTCCATAAATATACAGCATTTCTCTAGGTTCACTGAATGTGTATGTAAATCTGATCCTCGGAAGCATAAACACCAGCCTCCTCCCCTTCCTAGGCAGAGTGCTTATCTTCAGTCCTGCTGACGTCTGTGCTCCCCAATCTGCAGATTATTATTTTTCTGGGAAAAAAGGCTCCCTTTTCACTCTAGTGGATCTTGTGGTACTCTTTTGTTAACAGGCTCCATCTCTTACTAAACATACTAACCTTAAGCAACTATTTAATATCTCTGTGCCTCCTTCTTCCCATTAGTAAAATGGTTATTTTATCTAGGGAGGGAAGGGGAAAATATAAAGCCTAGGAGGTCCCATTTTTCTGATTTCTCTGACCATTATTCCTCTAACTTTATGCTTGGGCATCTGCAAAAGGAATGAATGTGTCACAGCCTGATTTACAGATTGCTAGAAATAAATGTGAATTTTTAGAAGAGAACTTTAAAAAACCAGCTAAATGTTCCAGTCCATTCACTGAATAAAAAAAAAGTATGTATGTATATATATTTTTATATATAAGTATATATATTTATGCATATTTATTTTTATATAAAAAATATATTATTAAATATATTAAAATATATATTTTTAAATATATATATTAGATTATATATATATATTTTTGGCAGCTGGCTGGTATGGGGATCCGATCTTGGTGTTATAACACCGTTTTCTAAGCAACTGAGCTAACCCACCAGCCGTGAAAAATATTTTATATAGAACACACTATGTACAAGGTAGGGTGGTATTAGACCCTAAGGGAAAAGATAATAAAAACAGTATTCTCTGCTTGGAAGCTCTTTCCAAACTTTCGTCATATCACTCCAACTTCTGGTAGAACCTGTTACATTAACATGTTTTTCATCATTCCATTTCATAATTCTAATAAGCAAAAATCTATCCTGAGATGGCCTTAGCTGTAAAAATGGCTATAAAAGAGGGATAATGCTAATCTTTTCCCCCAAGGTTGTTATAAGGCTAAACAATGTGCAGCCTTATGGGAATGAAAACATAATGGCATTTTAAATTTCAAGAGTTAGAATAACCATAGTATATGAAGTACAAAACAAAAAATTAAGAGATTCACAATTTTTTAAGGGTGTGGAACTAACTTATATTAAGAAAGGGGCTTTTACACTGTTATTAATCAGTTTGGATCCCCATACCAGCTAGACACCAAAAAAAAAACAACCCACAAAAACAAAAAACTGTTATTAATCAACACAAGAACGCAAGCCTTCAGAGCTGGCAGGTTAACTCAGCTGGTTAGAGCACAGTGCTGATAACACCAAGGTCCAGGGTTCAATCCCTGTACTGGCTAGCCACAAAAAGAAAAAAAAAAAAAAAGAATGCAAACTTTTATTACTTACGCCACCATAAAATCATAAAGAGAGCTTCTGTTAAGTCAGAAAATTTTGTAGATTAAAGATCACTATCGTAAAGGGCCACAAAAAAATATTACATTGTGTAATATTGAATATACTAATTGTCCTGATTTGAGCATCACGTATTGCACACAAGTATGGATATTCAGAGCTGTACCCCTCTGATATGTACAGTCAATTATGTTTCAATTAAAATAAAAGTAATAAAACAATGCAAAAGTTTCATTCTTTTATTTACTGGAGTGGTGACCTCTGCTGAACACTTTATCAATTTAGGTTTTTCATTCTTTCTTGAGTCTCCATGATGGCAAATTACTCTTCTTACAGCCTGACAGTAAGAATCATTGATTAGACTTCATTTATCAACTGAATGTCTTCCCATTTTATTTTTGATTCTTACCAAAGGAAACAATAAATAAGAAAACACTAGTCTCTTCTGTACTGTTTGTTAGCTAGCTTAATTTAAGAATTAGACTAATTTGATATGCCTTGAAAGACTTAGTTCCTGTGTTCTAATCTATTTGCTTTTCATAAGTTGATAAGGAAATTAATTTACATTATCGAAAGACTTAGTTCCTGTGTTCTAATCTATTTGCTTTTCATAAGTTGATAAGGAAATTAATTTAGATTATCGAAAGACTTAGTTCCTGTGTTCTAATCTATTTGCTTTTCATAAGTTGATAAGGAAATTAATTTACATTATAAAATTCCTATAATACTTTTAAATTTTTTTTTAAATTATATTTTTTAAAGATGACGGGTAAGGGGATCTTAACCCTTGGCTTGGTGTTGTCAGCACCATGCTCAGCCAGTGAGCTAACCGGCCATCCCTGTATAGGATCCAAACCCACGGCCTTGGTGTTATCAGCACCGCACTCTCCCGAGTGAGCCATGGGCCAGCCCTTTTATGTTATTTTTAAACTACCTCATAACTCATAGAACGTTAGCAATGGAAGGGACCTATAGATCATATGTTAAAACTCCATCACAATTTACAAGTGAGAAAACTAAAGCCAAGAAAGCGAAATGAATTGCTTATAGCACACAGCTAGACTCCAAATCCAGTGTTCAAATTAAAATCTCATATAAACTTTCAAACTTTAATAAAACCTTTAAGAACCCAGGTTATATATATAATAACACCAATGACAACAAAAGAAATTTTAAAGTTGTAATGGGCAATTAAAGGGAAATTTAATTTTCTTCTCTCAATAAATATGGTCTTCTGTTAGACATGGAAAGCAATTTACTCTCTCAGTTATATAGCAATTATTATTTGTAATAAAATCAGAAATATGTTCTGTACAAATTATATAATTTAGTTTTCCTAAACTTAATGAATGTCTATTTGTATTTATAAATTTTTTCCCTTTTGTAGCTAAGTTACTGAAATTTACAAGAGCTTAAAGATTTTGCTCACTACCAGGTTAAGGTTTTTGATAATTCAGTGGTGATTTGCAGAGTCCAAAACATCATTGAAAATGCAATGGCTGACACAATTATATGGCTGGATATTCAGAAAGGTGGGTTACAACATATTCATCAATGAAAACAAAGTCATATCAGTGAAAGGGTGGAATCAAATTTCCTCTGCTTAGTGTTTCGTTAGCTTTTAGCAGCTGAAAAATATATACGTGGGACAACTCAGTAATTTGATCTTCTTAGTATACATACTGTATTTATATTGACTTATCTATAGGCCTTTTATTTTTTTTAATTTATCTATAGTCCTTTTTGAATAATGCCAATATGTTGGAAAAGGATATTCTGTCTGGTAATGTATCTTGAGCTATGGCTATTTCACCCTACCAATTGAGAGTACATATCTCAGATAAATATTGTAGCCCTTTATCTGAGATAAAGGTGCTATTTCCCAAGTTAAATTTATCAGCATAGGTACTATAAATGATGGAGAAATAAAAGGAAAGAAAGCAAAATTAAATAACAGTGAGTGTATATACCATGCTGGTGCCTTGTCTTCCTTCATACTGAACTGGCATGATATAGTTTAGAATAGAGAGCTGGTCTGCGGTATCTTCAAGAACTGCAGAGATCCTCAACACATCAAGAAGGGAGAGTGGCTCTATGGTTTCCGAGATGATTTCTACATCTGTTTCTTTAGCTGTTTCTTCTACAGCACTAGGTGGTTCGCCTGTCACTGACATCATCACCTCAGAACCTTTCGGAGAAATGTTTAAGATTTCTAGCTTGTTTCTAAGGAAAGAATAAAAAATAAACCCGTGACCGATATTTAAATACTACTTAAATGCAAAAGCACAAGCAGCATGTAGATTGGTTCCTGTGAAGTTCATATTGTCCTATAATAGAACTTAGACAAAAACAAAAGTAGTGATTCTGCTCAATACCTTCCATTTTGACCAACCAAAGGCAAACAACTTACTGTTTAATAAAGATATGTAACCTATGATATTTGGCTATACTTAACCAATTTAAATTTGAAACAAAATTAACTTTATTTTCCTAGCAATATCTTTAGATGCTAACCAAAAGTGTTTCATGATTAGCGAAAAGCAGAATGTGTTAGCCAGCCTCCAAGGTGGCACAAATGATTTTCACTTTCTGGTATTCATGCCCTTGTGTAGTCTCCCCCACAATGAATAGGACTAACCTATGCAACCAACAGGATATTGTGGGAATGACAGAGTATGACTTCAACCCTAGATGATAAAACACATTGCACCTTCTGCCTTACTTTTAATCTCTCTGAGGGAAGCTAGCTGCCTTCTCATGAGGACTCTTAAGCGGCCCTGTGGAGATATCCACAAGGGGGACAAACCAAGGCCCCTTGCCAGCAAGCAGAATCAACTTGCCGGTTCTGTAAATGTACCATCTTGGAAGTGGATCCTCTACTCCCCATCAGGTTTTCAGATGATTACAGCCCCTGGTCAACTTCAACCTTATGAAAGACCCTAAGCCAAAATCATCCAGCTAAACTGTTCCCAAACTCCTGACCCACAGACACAGTATGAAATAACAAATGTTTGTTTTTTAAGTCACTATGTTTTGGGGTAATTTGTTACACGGCAATAGATAAACAATACATATAAATTTAACAGAAGGCATAATTTAATAATATATATACAAAATAAATTGGAATTTGAACATACTCTTCCATTCTTCCAGAATTAGTTTTGTAACTCTCCATGGTACATGTATAATCTCATAAAAAGGCAGTCACCTAAAATAGGAAGGAATCATTCAGATTAGTTTAAGTGAGTGTTGAGTGATATTTCAGTTATTTCTAGCCATTTCATTAAGAGAAAATTTAAAAATTATAAGAGCTGTGGCTTATCCCCTCTTTTTGCTTAGTCAAGTACTCCCAGAGATGAAAAAACCAATATCATGGGGTGCAGGTCTATTAAGTCATTAGTTTACTCTTTGGGCTACCCAAACTGAAGATACATACACTCTTCAAGCCTCTCTTAAGGTACATTAATGTCCAACATGGTTTTAGCATGTTTCATGGTATTCTGATTTTTAATTGGTAATCTCTACATAATAGATTTATTTTCCATTATTCTGATTAACATTTAATTAGATCACGTCATTCCCCTGATCTGCCAGATAATAGAGTTAATTGAACCTGGACTTAGAAGAACAATTGAGATTACATTTAGAAAAACTGTACGAATCCTGGAAATCAGCTTCATAGTGCTATCAAGATGTTACCCTTCTCAGTAAACCAAAATCCTTTCTGCTTAAATGAGCTTTACAGTGTGAACACCTATGGAGAATTTTGCTTTATCCTGAATGAATGGTGAATGGTAAGTTTCCAGTGTAATTTTGTTCACAAGAAAGTCATCCTGAGAGGAGTGGTACAAATATGTCTAATACAACAAAAATCTTATATGTAAAAATTCAAACATAGAAAACAGAATCTTTATGTAATCTGAAAAAGATACTCCAAAATAGCCAAATTTTCTGGTGCAGGGGCAGTCTTAGGAGGAAGTAGCATGGTATTAAGGAGAATTTTGTTCTTTTTTGTGTCCTTGTTTGTTTTTCCATTCCTTAGGCTTGGGGCATAGGTAAATATTCTTCACATAGGTAAGATAAGGCTGTGTTTATATGCTTTCATGCTGTTCTGGCTTTCATTCCTCAAGCAAGAAATCCAGGAGTCATTCTTGCCACCTCCTTCATCTTGATATCAATATTTCCCCCAGTCCAAACCATCATTTCTGTATCCCTCAATGCCATGTTGGACCTAGTTGTTTCTTGCATGAACAACCGTAACAGACTACAAATTGGAAGTGATCTTTTTAAAATGAAAGAGTGATCTTTTAAAATTGAAAACCTGATCGTGTCTGTCCTTAAAACCCTTCAATGGCTTCCCATTGCCGCCCATAAGTTCTGCATGATCTGGTCCCTCTCTTCCTCTCCAGACCCATCTGGCACTGCCCTTTTCTTGAAATCATGGCTCCAACCACTATGGGGTTTTTTTCAGGTTTTCTGTGGAATCATGTTTCCTTCCAGCTCAGGATCTTTGCACATGCTATTCCTTTAACTTGAATCATTTTCCCCCTCACCTCTTCACCTTGTAAAGTCCCACTGATCCATCAGGTACCAACTTAAAACAGTGGTATTTTCACACACACACACACACACACACACACACACACACACACACACTGAAACAAGTTTCCTAAAACAACTTACTCTTACCATGTGTGATACATTCTGATTTTTTTATTCTATTCTGTTTTAAAAAGTATTATAATCACAATCTACTAATGTGTCATCACCTTCAGTTGGAAAATGCCTTAAATGACACTTCTCCAAGTGATATTTTCCCTGACTCATCGTCGTAGTGAATCAGGATTCCTCTGTTCAAGCATTCATAGTACTCTTTTATTTTCCTGCAGAACTCTGCTCACAATTTACAATGTTTAGTTTCTCCCACTAGACTGTTAAGTTCCATGAGAGCAGTAACCGTTACAATGAGACTCACTATTGCATTCTATGTTTCAGTGCTCAATAAGTATTTGTGGAATGAATGAACGAAAGGAATTCACTCTTAATGTGTTATTCCTCTCAGGAGGACCTATATTTAGAGCCATGAGGAATCAATCTCTTTTAGTAGGATTTCTAGTACATTTCTGGGACAGAGAAAATTGTATGGGATAGTGAGCTATTTATGAGTGGGTGGTGTATTTATTTATTTATTATTATTTTACTTTTTATAAAGATGATCGGTAAGGGGATCTTAACCCTTGACTTGGTGTTGTCAGCACCACATTCTCCCAGGTGAGCCACAGGCCGGCCCTGGGTAGTGTATTTATTTAGTGGGTAGTGTACCGAAGATTTTAAATGTGACATATATACATCTATTTCATAAAAGTTTGCCATCATCTTTTACTCCTCTCTCTCATTCCTCATCCATCAGCAAATCCTGTCAGCATTACATTTAAAATATATCCAGGATTCCTGTACTCATCACCCCTGTCTACACACTATCATCTCTATCAGGATCATTACAGAAGCCTCCTAATTGATCTTCTTGCTGGTGCCTTTGCCTCCCTTCAGTCTCAACACAGTGACTTCGTTAAAACTGAAGTCAAATTGAATCAATCTTCGGTTCAGAACCCTCAAATGGTTTCCCATCTCAGAGGAGAAAAAAAGTCTCTTTTACAGTGGCTTCTCTGTTTAATTTTTCTCCATAGAAGTTATCACCTTCTAATGTGCTATATATTTTACTTGCTCGTTGTCCTTCTCCCCCTAGTAAAACACAAGCTTCATGAGAATAGATTTCTGTTTGTTTTGTTTACTGCACTGCTCTTCAAGCCTACAACAAATCTTAGTAGGTGGTAGTTATTCAATAAATTATTTGTTGAATAAATGAAGGAATCCATGGGGAAACTCAAATAAATGTACAATACTTAGGAAATGTAAATCTCCGACATCCACTAACACATCTCGTTGTAGTCTACAAGTATTTACTGAGGACCTATTACACGTAGGCACGGTGCTGGGAGCCCTGTAAGTTGACGTCTGGAAGAGTTCTCCTGAAAAGGCGAAAACGCCTCCTCAGAGCAGTGGTCCTTACCTTCGGAGTCAAAACAAAGAATGCAGGTAAGAACTTAAGTCATTTCTTGAAAGAGATAACGGAATAGAGGGCAGAAAAGAAGTAAGGCGGAAAAAATAAGTAAAGGGAAGGACGAGTTCCTCCTGCTTTCTTGCTCCAGCCTCTCTCTTCCAGGCGAGGGTAAGATCAGAGAGTCTCCGTTCGCTCTACTCTTGTGCGGAAGGAGAGGAAGATACCCCTATGTTCGCGAATCAATCTTAGGTATCCGAGGCAGGGGGGTGTCTTCTAGACCCGCTTTATCTTCTCACCTACAACACTCGACGCAGAAACCAAGCTAAGGTGTTTCTATGGCAACGCGCAGCTTTAGGGGACCTTTCCCTCTCCTCCTTTAGCTGGCTACCATTTTGCCTTCCTCTGTTCCCAAATAATACATGTTGCAGCTTACCAAGATGAAAAGACTTAGGGAAACAATTGTAAGAATGCTTTTGGATGTGACTTATTTCAATCCGAAAGCGATTTCTGAGGCTTGTATTTCTGGCGGTGGCGGAAGATTCCTAAATTGAGGCATGGCGGGAGGTGTGTTTCCCACAAGGCCACGCGGCGGGGCCTGGCCTTTCTCTTTCCGCCATCTTGGATCCTGTGGAGGTGAGTGAATCGCTTACTGCTGAACTTTGGGGGCAAATAACTGGGGTGGCCTCATCCGTATACCTCGACGAGGCACTGGTGCAGCTCCGAGTGTCTGCCAGCCAATGGTTTCTATGGATTCCAGAGAGTGGGAGGACAGGATGGAGGAGATATGGGACGGATGGTGCTGGTCCTCTGACTCCCAGAAATCGGGTGCCCCGGTAATCGGAGTTGATTCCTGGGCCCGAGCGCAGTGAAATAGGTGCATTTTGTTCGTCTGCAGTTGCGCATTGGGCGGTAGCAACTTTAGGCTGGGCTTTGTCCTATTGCTGTCACTCCAAACCTGGCTTTGTTTGTCTACAGTCTCCCCTTCCTCAGCTTTTCTCCCCCGCAATACAGTCATGCTTTCTATGTGCTTCTCTGCCTGCTTGACACATCTCCATGTTTTCCCTGAATTTTGTGTACTGATAGCGGCATGAATTTTCTCAGGGTTTCCTGTTGGAATTTCTAGGAGTTGCTTTTAGTGTATAGTCTTGCTACTTAGCTTTTGTGTTTATTTTGGAGTTTGCTTAGACTCTTAGACTCATCACCCACTCTTTGAGGTTTGCATGTCTTGGCAGACACTGCGCGTCATGTAAGTGGGGATGGCATATTCTTACGTGAAATGCCGATCAAAAAGGAATTTTTTTTGCTCAACGGGCTTAAGAAACGAGAGAGGACAAGGTGGGAAACTTGCGTTGCATGGTTTTAAATTGTCTTTTGTTTTAAGGCCTGCTGGGAACAGGACTTCTAAAAGGCAATATGTCTGGAAGGTACGCGTTTTAAGTATAGATTTGTTGTTTGTTTTTAAATATTAGATGTAAACCTAAATGAGAGCTTAAAGTTGGTGGGGGGAAAATTAGATGTTTGCTGTAAATAACTTTTGGGTCGGGGGGGATCATCGCAAGTCAAATCATACCGGTGGTTGGCTGAAGATGAACAAGTTCCTTTAACAGCTCACGACTAATATTATTTATCTTGTGTGTCTCAGGCTGTGGTCCAAGGCCATTTTTGCTGGCTATAAGCGGGGTCTCCGGAACCAAAGGGAGCACACAGCTCTTCTTAAAATTGAAGGTGTTTATGCCCGAGATGAAACTGAATTTTACTTGGGCAAGAGATGTGCTTATGTGTACAAAGCAAAGAAGTAAGTTTATATTGTTATGCTTTTGAGTTTTTAGTTGACATCTGCCTCATTTTGCTATTGAAAGAGTAAACAAAAGATGTTGGTAAAGAAATTGGTATTGTTGTGGCTTCTACTTTGGGTCTTTAAGGAACTAAATGGGAAGAGGATAGAAGGATGTTACTTTTCTGGGTGGTGTTGGATTTAGGTGTCTTGGGCACTTAGAAAACTAAGGAATGAGCTAATTCCTCGTATTCTGATCTTTTTTCTTATGTTTTTTGCTGATAGTCACAGAACCATATTATGATCCTTTTAAGGGTTTATAGAGCAGTTTTTATAGAGTGCCTCAATTCATTTTGTTAATTCCTTAAAATTATATTTTAATACATGCTTAAAAATGTTAGGACTTCAGAGCATTGGGGTTTTGTAGGGGGCGAGTAGCGGGCTGGTATGACCCTTGACCCTAGTGTTATAACACCACACTCTAACCAACTGAGAGAACTGACCAGCACAGCATTGGCTTTTAATCCTGGGTTCTTAACCCACTCCAGACCAATTAAAATCTCTGGGGAGATGCTTTCTTCCTTGCCTCTCCTTTTATCTAAAGGTCATAGTGTTCCTTTAAAATTATGTCAGATCGAGTGTACTTACTCAAACCCCAGTAGTTAGTCAAACTCAGTGAAAGCCGAAGTCATTAAAGGCCTCTAAGACCCTATGTATTGAGGGCTCCATATTTCTGCTCTTATCCCAGCTAAAATTCACTCCTTGGTATCTTCAATTCTTTTCCCTAAGCCAGGACACTCCCTCTTTAGGTCTTTAGCACATGGTGTTCCTCTGCCTGCAGTGGTCATTCCCTGATAACTTAATGGCATGTTCCCTCACCTTCCAGTTTTTTATTCCACTGTAACCTTGGTGAGGCCTTCCCTGGCTATTTAAAATTGCAGACGATTCCTCCCTCTCCCTGCACCCAAACATCTCCACACTTCTTGTCCCCCTTTGCTGTTTTTTTCAATATTGGAGCTATAAACATCTGATGTCCTATATATTTTACTTATTACTTGGTTATTCTGTGAAAGTGATTTTTGTTTTGTAAACTGCTATATTTTACAGAAGCACTTGGTGTACAGTAGGTACTTGATAAATGTCTTTTGAACGAATGGTGCTCCATACATTTTAAAAGTTTTTCAGGTGATTAAGTATCAAGTGGGTAGTCAGGGTTGGGAGCCACTGGTCTAGAGGTCACCTTGAATTTATATCAGACTGTATTGGTTGCCTGAGTTCTCATGCTTCTATCCCTTTTTAAAATCAGCAACACAGTGACTCCTGGTGGCAAACCAAACAAAACCAGAGTAATCTGGGGGAAGGTAACCCGTGCGCATGGAAATAGTGGCATGGTTCGTGCCAAATTCCGAAGCAACCTTCCGGCTAAGGCAATTGGACACAGAATCCGTGTGGTAAGTACAGTTATTAGCAAAATGTCCCTGTGTTGAGTCAAACCACGTTGAAGGGGTTGGGCATGGACCTCTAAGAAATTTTGAGATTGTAAAATGACACCAGTAAATAATGGTGCAAATTGAGTTGCCGCTGTGTAAATGATGAGTGTTAAGGAACGTCTGATTCTTGGCATACTAAAGGATGGTGAAGGCAAAGTGTTCAAATGGGTGCCTAAATTTCAGGTTTTGCTAAAGCTATGTGGGGGAAAATAGTATTTGAATGAACAGTTTTCAGGCAAAGATACTTATTGGGCACTGAAGTAATTGCCGGAAAATAAAAATTCAACATGCCTTTTCCTGGCATAATTCTTAATATTTTCACATCTCCATCACGTCAGTTTTGTTAGAATTGGTGTTATTAGCTTTATTTTGTACATGATGAAAACACACTCCTGTTATTAGGTCTCAGGACTTTGACCGAAGTCTTTGGACTCCAAATCCTGTGATTTTTCTCAAATAGTTCCTTTTTCTTTAGAGTCTGTTTTTAGTAAACCATATTCTTGGTGCCATGGGGTGCTGTTTAGCCCTGCTGAACAATTGAGATTTATTATTAAAGGAGGTTTTTATCCTGTTATTAGAAAAAGCTAAATTAGGGCCGGCCCGGTGGCACACTGCTACAGTGCGCCGCTTGGGAGCGCGGCAGCGCTCCCGCCGAGGGTTGAGCGAGGTGCGGGCGCAACACCGAGGGTTGCGATCCCGTTGCCGGTCCCGGTCCAGTCCGGGCGCGACACTGAGGGTTGCGATCCATTGCCGGACACGAAAAAAGACAAAAAAAAGAAAAAAAAGAAAAAGCTAAATTAAATGTACTTTTAGTACTCACTTTTTTTGAGTGCTGGTTCATAAGGCATGTTCACCTAGACACTGAAAGCTATAAAAACTTGGTTTCCTCATCCCCAGGATGTTGGATGAGTGTTGGTATAATGGGAGATTTATCCATATTGTGGTACTCAGTAACATTTGTAAATTTATATATAACATGTGCCTGATGTTGTTATGTGTTCTTTTTTCCCCCCCAGATGCTGTATCCCTCAAGGATTTAAACTAAAGGATTTAAATGAAAAGTATATAATAAATAAAAGTGGATTTGTGTTCTTGTACTTTTGTTAAGCGGCTTAAAAACTTTATTGCCCTGAACTGAGTTACTGTATGCTTAAAGTGGTGGAGGTTATTCAGCCTTTTCAGGATACAAGGAAGTCAGAGCTACATGTAATGGTGATTACAGAGATTTAGAAGGTAATAGGATTTTAATGTGGGTTATCTTAATACAAGGCCTGATGGGGGGGCATAAGTAAGCTTTGGGAAAGTAGGAAGGTGACTGCCTTCATCAAGAGTAAGTGAAAGAGTAAGTGAAAGTAAGTGAGAGTAAGTGAAAGAAGCTTAAAATTGTCTTATAGTACCTTGTAATAATATGTACTTGTTCAACACAGACTAGTTGGGGAAAGTTATAAGTAAAAATGGGCACTGGGAATAATTTGAATGGAGATTATATTGATGTTATTTGGCAGTTCATTTAGATAGACTGGGATGAAATGTCCTTAGGAGTTGTGACTGGACAAAATACTTGACTGGGTGGGAGTAATATGTAGACTGAAAATATCAAACAAAATGATGCCACATGGTTCCTCTTCAGAAAAAGTAATCCTGTGGTGTGTGGGGTTGGGAATAGTGCATGGACAGGTAGCTCTCCTTGGCTTTGTGTTTTAATGTAATAAATTACAGGTTTGAGATATTTTAGGATATTACAAGGGGGAAAGTAAGCAGGGCTGCAGAGTATTTAAATTTTTTAAGGATGTTCTAAAATAAAAATTTGAATTAAGGTGTCAGTTTGCAGTATGGTCATTGTGGGTTTCTAACAGATGCAGTTAGCAGCTAGTCCTCTTATTAACTAGCAAATCTTTATGTTCCACTGAAAATGTCAACAGGATACAGTTCTGAAATGTATTTGGGTTCTCTTTTCCAATACCAAAAAAGCATTAGTATGCTAGAAATTGGGGAAAGGAGGTTACATTCAAGCCAAAGTTGCCATTGTAGGAGCCCTGTGTTTCATGGAAATGGGCTTCCATTTGTACTTATGCCAGGCTTATTCACTGAGAGTGTGGCCTCAAGGCAAAGTGCATTGGAAGGAGCATCAGCTTGGGACCATTGGTCAATTAAGCTTTCTTCACCAGATCTGAGCAGTGTATTTCATGGTCAACAGAAGTTAGTGCATTAGTGGTTATTAGAATCCTAAGGATATTGGACTTGGGAAGTTTGGTGTCATGGGCAGAAGTGCCAGTCTTGGGCCTACTCCAGTGAGATTTAGTTCTTCCTCCAAAAAGCCAATGTTGGGGCTGGCCCGGTGGCGCACTGCTACAGTGCACCGCTTGGGAGTGTGGCGGCGCTCCCGCCGAGGGTTCGGATCCCACATACAGACCGGCCACTCACTGGCTGAGCGAGGTGTGGGCGCAACACTCGTATAACTTCGTATCCAAAAAAGCATTAGTATGCTAGAAATTGGGGAAAGGAGGTTACATTCAAGCCAAAGTTGCCATTGTAGGAGCCCTGTGTTTCATGGAAATGGGCTTCCATTTGTACTTATGCCAGGCTTATTCACTGAGAGTGTGGCCTCAAGGCAAAGTGCATTGGAAGGAGCATCAGCTTGGGACCATTGGTCAATTAAGCTTTCTTCACCAGATCTGAGCAGTGTATTTCATGGTCAACAGAAGTTAGTGCATTAGTGGTTATTAGAATCCTAAGGATATTGGACTTGGGAAGTTTGGTGTCATGGGCAGAAGTGCCAGTCTTGGGCCTACTCCAGTGAGATTTAGTTCTTCCTCCAAAAAGCCAATGTTGGGGCTGGCCCGGTGGCGCACTGCTACAGTGCACCGCTTGGGAGTGTGGCGGCGCTCCCGCCGAGGGTTCGGATCCCACATACAGACCGGCCGCTCCCTGGCTGAGCGAGGTGCGGGCGCAGCGCCGAGGGTTGCGATCCCATTGCCGGTCATGAAAAATGACAAAAAGGGAAAAAAAAAAAAAAAAAAAGCAAAAAGCCAATGTTAAAAGAACTGTGTTCATTGTGCCAGTTAAGTAGATGTGATCAGTACCCTTGGAGTAGTCAGGATTAGGGGCATGTAAATATATTGTTTAAGTAAATATAAAACAAACACTTGGGTAGGCTTCTCAGAAAAAGGAAATGGCATGAAGATTTTTGAATGAAGAAGGCATTTGAGCCATTGAAACTTGGTCATTTAATTTAGTGTGACTAAACCCTGTTGGGGGAGTGGAGAATAAATGTAGAAAATTAAGAAATGCCACATTATGAGAGCTTATGTACTGCACTGGGGGCTTTAGTCTTATGTGTCACTGAAGAACTTGATTAATGGGTGACCAGATTAATATTTTAGATCTCAGTGGCAACCCAGCATAAAAATGAAGGAAGGGAAAATCAGGCTTTGCAGTCTTGAGATTTTTGAGCACTGAAATAGAGGAGATTCCATAAACTCGTGGGTTTTAAAGCAATTGATTGTAGTGTAGAGGCTTCAAGGATAGCATATTCCTGGGTTTGGTGGCTGGATGGATAACGGTGCATTTGCAAAGTCGGGGAATCGAGATGGTTTTGTTGGGGTGGGGGGGAAGAGAACTTGATGAGTTTGAAGAAGCTGTAGGCTGTTAAAACTGGACATACCCAGGAGGGCAGGTGGTTATTTCAGGCCTGGATTAGGCATATAAAGAGGAAAAGGAGCTCCATCGCCTTTGGAGGAATTCAGTGACTGGTATCCTGAATGGGCTATATAGGAGAGTAATGGAAGTAAATAAACAAGTAGTGGTGGTAGACATTTGAGCAAAGGGGGGAGGGGGGGCGAAGGTTGAGAATCCTTAGGGTAACTTGAGTATGTGTGCATTGACAACTGAGCCTCTCATGCAAATATGTGCACTTCTCAACTGAGTTGATGCAGCACATGTAAATGTGAGGATGTATTAGAGGGTGAATAAAACTAATGCCATTTTGTGCCCTGCCCACATGTTGATTCTTGTTTAATCTCATTTGTTTCACTGACCAATGAGATTAACATTTTAGAGCAAGTTGTAAAGGGAACACAAGTTTCATGGAGTGAATGACTTACAGCAGGTGGCAGCAGTGGCTTGAGCACTAACATCACAAGACACCCCCCAACTCCTGCCGCTTCATAGATTTAGACACCTGCTGGATGATGTTATCAACTTATTTTTCTTAAGGTGTTTCCTTGAAGTTACTTTTAGTAAGGAGCCTTTGCTATATAAACTCTTCCTAAACCCAGAGCCAGAGCTCTCATCCACTGTAGACGTCTGGTTCTTCCCAGCATCCAGCTTTCCTGTATGTAAATCACCCGTGTAATAAATATCTCTGATTACCGAATGGACCTGCCTGCCTACTTCTTTAGTTTCAGCAACTTCTCATTTTGGAGGGCATTATGCTTTAACTTCCTCCTCACACAGGGATATAATGTTTTTCTGCTCCTCTGGTCAAAATTGCCATTGGAGGAGAATTCCGTGGTTCACAGAAAAGGGCTTTTGTGGCTCACAGCTTGTCCACTATACTATTGAAACAGCCTGTCCCCAGGATGATAATACTGCTATGGCTAGGACTTTGAGATGACTGGTTCCATTCTTTGTTCACAACCAGCAATTTGTTTGTGGTCTTGTAGTGGAAAGAGTACATCCCAAAAGATTACTTGAGGGTTTGTTTTTTGGGTTTTTTTGGCAGCTGGCCAGGACATCAAGTTACATGTTTTGGAATCCCAATTTCCACTACTTGGGGGGTGATAGACACATTATATCTAATGACTCTCTACTCGTAAAATGCTAATACTTAAAACACCACCCTGCCCTTGTATTTAGTATATAATCTCTACCAGTAGACTAAATTCTCAAGGATTTTCTTACCTATTCCTGCATTTCCTAGTATGGTAATTTACAATATTCAATTAATGTTGGACGATTATTTCAACTCATTGTTTACAGTTCTTAGTTTTAATTCTTTGTGTCATAGGCCACAGAGAGATTTGTCCCAATTTTCAAGTTTTTTAAGCTTAGTTCCTCAGGGCTCAATTTCGAAGGTAGAGTTTCCTTAATGTCCAGGATCCATCCAATCTCTTCTGGGTTAGTACAACTGTATTTCTTGGTTAGATACAAGCCGAAGGACGGACTTAAGTAAAATATTATAAAGGACACATTGATTTTATAGGAAATGGCTTTAGTTAAGAAATGGGTCTATAATTGGCTAGTCGGGATATGAAGTAAAAAAAAATGAGAATTCTATTTCACTCACCTTTCATACAGAGCACTAAATGTTTTGCAGCTGTTTATACGTTCATCTAAGTACCCGACACTTAGCGGATCCATAGCTCTTTGGTGAATGATTGAAGTAAACTGAAAAAATTCTTCAGTAAAGCTATCCACGTTCCACCATCTGTCTGCCGTCAACGCCTACTCGCCTTATTCCATCAGCCCAACTCACGTGGGCCGCTAAACAGCACTTATTGGCCGGCTTCGCGCAATGAGACGCGAAGGACGTGACTGCTACTCTCATCTTCCGTGGTGAACTTCTTGCGGTTGACGCTAACCAATCGGAAGACATTTTTCCGTTGCCTAATGCCTCCACCTCCCTGGGGCGGTGAGGGGGCGGGGCCGGCGCCGGGCGCGGAGGCGTCACGCACTCCATGGTAACGACGCTCGGCCTGAAGATGGCGGCCGAGTGGGGTGGAGGAGCGGGTTGCTCGGGTTCAGGCCCGGGCTGGAGCCGGTGGTTCTGGAGCGGTTCTTTGTGGGTCCGAGGCATTTTATTGCTATTGAGCGGGCTCCGGGCAAGCGCCACATCTATTCCTATGTCGTTGGGCAGTTCTCCTCCCTGCCGGCACCACGTCCCCTCTGACACTGAGGTAGGGCGACGGAGAGCGGGAGTGGGCCCTGTGAGTGTAAAGTAATATGGGAGAAGCTGGCAAAGAGATAGTGACTGGGAGGAGTGTTGGAGGAGAAAGCGAAATTGGGACAGAGACTGCACCCTTACGGGGCTGAAATCTCCAGTGAGCTCCTTGCACCCGTAAAGTGGCTGAGTTAGGCAGTCAGAACATCATCACTTTCCGCTTAGCAGGTAGCCCTGGAGCGGTGGTTTCAAACTTGAGCGAGTATCAGAATCATCTGAAGAACTTGTTAAAACACAGATTGCTGCCCCACTCTTCCACTCTGACTTAGTAACACTGGAGTGGGTCCAGATTCCCAGATGGTGATGCCGCTTGTTGGGAACAACTGATCTAAAAGTTTGGGAAGAAACTGGTAGGCGAGCAAGACGAAGTCGTTGGAGAGTTATTGGGGGTGCTCTAGAGACAAAATTTCAGGTTTATTTCATCACTTTGCTTGCTTTATCCTGTTCCCCTGACCTGCAAGTGTCTGTCTCCTTTCCACCCCGTTTTTCTCCTTATCTAAATTCTTTCAGTCTCAGTTCACGTCCCCTAACCTCAGGGTAGCTTGCTGAAACCACCCCAGCAGAATGTTTATTCCATTTCACAGTATGTCTTATCTGTACTCTCTTCTGGCACTTAACCAAGTACTGTGATGTGGTAATGGCTTGTTTTTTAGGGATGTCTTGTCTTTGTAGTTAAATCGTAAGGTTTCTTGGGATAAAGTTTGTGACTTATACTTTGATTCCTTAGTTCAGAGGTGGGCCCAGGATAATCAGTATTCTTTGAGGCAAGGAGGGACAGTACCTGGGGCAGGGCTGCAAGTTTTTTAATTTGTCTTACTACTTTGTCAAGAAAAATTCACGTAGAAATTTTCTCTTTAGCTCAGAAATCTAAGGCCATTCATTTTTGTTGTAATTTCCAGAAATGTTACCTGCATACTGTTCATAACCATGTGAGCCAAAATATTAAGTTTGGGGTTTGTAGCTGTATTACAGTTTTTATTATGACACTGCATTTTAGCTGAATTCTATTTTTTTTTTCTGAAACAGCTTTTTATTAAACAGCAAAGCAGAATTGCAACACAACTTTAAATATCTATAAATTAGGTCACAAAAGGGATGCAAAATGTTTGCAGTACAACTAGTATATATTCATACAGATAACTTCATTCATCAAATCTTACACCAATACATAAGATTATTCCATGATTAAAAGTCCAAATCTAATAACCATAAGCTATATTAGTGGATCTCTTTTCCTATTATAATATTTTAACATTACTTCTGATATTGATTCCCTTACCAAATAGAATCTACAAACTAAATTATTTAAATCTGTTAAAGGATGACTAAAATTCTACAAACCAAGTAGTCAAGTTTACAGAAAAACCTGGGAGAACAAATGAGATAAAATACTGAGGGAGATTATCAATTACTATATATGTTAAACTCTCCCATTTTATTCATGATTCTGATACTAATACACTCAAGGAATTTTGTAAAAAAAGTTGATCTGCTGAGTAAAAAACCTTGAGACCAAACTCTCTGTAACTGTTCTCTTAACAGATGTGGCTTACATAAGGTTAGTCAAACAATCCATTTTCATGTAGTTAATCCATTTGAAAGGTGCTTCAAAAACTTCGTGTAAAAAATGATATTAAAAGATAATATGAATCTTTCTGTGAACTTTTTGAAGATTCCTTGCATTCTCCAAAAGATCCACTCTGTGTCAGAGATAACACAAACCTGGAGTGAAAATGTCTGGAGTTGGTTCCTGTTGTTTATCACGTACTTTTCCATTCTATTCCTATTTTTCCTCAAGATTTTCTATTTTAAAAACACACATGACCAGAACTCATATCTTTTCAGATACTAAGTGGGTTATTTTGTGCAAAATCAAGTTTTTAACAAAAAGTCTTCCCAGTTTGGCAATTCCATTTCAAAGAAAAATTTTCCTTTTTGTAGCTTCCTTCTGTTTTCATTTGTTAAAGAGAAACCAGCAATCCTATCTTATTACTAAATATCACAAGTGACAAGCTCTAGCTGAGAAAGTAGATTATTTTCATTAAGTTTCAACAATTAAAGTTCAGGTTACTCTCGTAGGTGATTTAACTATTAAAATTACTTTCATAAATGTGAAACCAATTGTTTCCTTAAAGGAAGGGAAATGGGAAGGAAGAAGCCAGTGGGGAAGAGGCACACAATGGTGGACAGAGTACATAAAGCTGTGCATTCAATACTGATTTTGGTCACTTTTTCACAACATGGTGATTATTTTCTTGTATATTTTACTAAACTTATAATAAAAGACAGTGCTAACCTATAAATCAAAGCAAATTCGTTAAAACGTTCATTTTCAAGTTTCATAAATATATGCAATTCTAATTATAAAGTTCCTACAGTACATCTGCACATTTTCATAGACTAATATAATATACAAACTTATGGAAGTCTCCTGTTAATGCTGTTAATTTTGCCTAGATCTGACATTATCTTCATAAATATTCAATGAATCCACAAACAAAAGTACTGTAACTTTTGGAATATATCCAAGTTTTACAGAAATGATCAGCAGCAATTCCATAAAGGGATATCAATCCCTTACTTTCTTTTGCTTTTTGTGTCAGTTGTTTGAAAAACACTAGAAGCTGACATGAGGTTTTCTATATATTGTCCAAGAACTTGGTTTTCTGATTTTAGCTTCAAATTTTCTTCCTTAACTGCATCAACTCTTGCAGAGAGATCTCTTCGTGTAAAAAATGATATTAAAAGATAATATGAATCTTTCTGTGAACTTTTTGAAGATTCCTTGCATTCTCCAAAAGATCTACTCTGTGTCAGAGATAACACAAACCTGGAGTGAAAATGTTTGGAGTTGGTTCCTGTTGTTTATCATGTACTTTTCCATTCGATTCCTATTTTTCCTCAAGATTTTCTATTTTAAAAACACACATGACCAGAACTCATATCTTTTCAGATACTAAGTGGGTTATTTTGTGCAAAATCAAGTTTTTAACAAAAAGTCTTCCCAGTTTGGCAATTCCATTTCAAAGAAAAATTTTCGTTTTTGTAGCTTCCTTCTGTTTTCATTTGTTAAAGAGAAACCAGCAATCCTATCTTATTACTAAATATCACAAGTGACAAGCTCTAGCTGAGAAAGTAGCTTATTTTCATTAAGTTTCAACAATTAAAGTTCAGGTTACTCTCGTAGGTGATTTAACTATTAAAATTACTTTCATAAATGTGAAACCAATTGTTTCCTTAAAGGAAGGGAAATGGGAAGGAAGAAGCCAATGGAGAAGAGGCACACAATGGTGGACAGAGTACATAAAGCTGTGCATTCAATACTGATTTTGGTCACTTTTTCACAACATGGTGATTATTTTCTTGTATATTTTACTAAACTTATAATAAAAGACAGTGCTAACCTATAAATCAAAGCAAATTCGTTAAAACGTTCATTTTCAAGTTTCATAAATATATGCAATTCTAATTATAAAGTTCCTACAGTACATCTGCACATTTTCATAGACTAATATAATATACAAACTTATGGAAGTCTCCTGTTAATGCTGTTAATTTTGCCTAGATCTGACATTATCTTCATAAATATTCAATGAATCCACAAACAAAAGTACTGTAACTTTTGGAATATATCCAAGTTTTACAGAAATGATCAGCAGCAATTCCATAAAGGGATATCAATCCCTTACTTTCTTTTGCTTTTTGTGTCAGTTGTTTGAAAAACACTAGAAGCTGACATGAGGTTTTCTATATATTGTCCAAGAACTTGGTTTTCTGATTTTAGCTTCAAATTTTCTTCCTTAACTGCATCAACTCTTGCAGAGAGATCTTCAAGTGTGTGTTGAAGTTCCAACACTTGATTAATAAGTCGTGTCTTTTCCTCCAGTTCCACCTGATTTTCAGCATCAACTGCATCCATGTCAGCATTCATCATCTTGGGTAACAAACTTTTGAACCTTGAATACAAAATCCTTGATGAATGGTCTTCCGCTTGAGGAGGAGCCGGGAAGGGGAGGGACTGGGAGGACGCCTCACGGTCGGACACTTGGATCCACTGACACCGCCTATTTTTTAAAAATTCCTACAAAGCCCTGCACTTCCGTCTTTGAAATGGGATTAAAATAAGAGAAAGTAGTTTAAACGGCTGCAAAATCTCTGTGCTAGAAAGAAACTTAGTAGCTGCTTTCATTTAGTGGATGTTGCCAGTGTATAAATCTCAAACTTATATTTGAACATCACCAAGGGTAGGGAAATTTTATCTCCAGAGGCAGCCCCTTTGCTTTTTGGAGATGACCATTGTTCAAGTTCTCTTTATGGAGCTGAAAACTCTTCCCGAAACTTCCACTCTCTGTTTCTGTTTATGCCTCTTGGCTGAACAAACTCAATAATGATAGTGCTTCAGATATTAAAAGCAAACTATTAAGTTCTTGAGAGTTCTAATCTCTAATTTTCCTAGTTCTTCTTAGAGTATGTAGTAGCAAGTTGTTCTTACCATTCTCCTTGCTTTAACCTGGACAGAGTATAGGCAATAACTACAGTATTCACTGTACACATATTAGTGACCACACCTCTGTTAACGTAGCAGGAAGTTACAGTAGCTTTTTAAAAGTATTTTGGTAAAATATACATATATTTAAATGACACAGATGCATCCGGACATTCATGTAAAACTCACAACTCTATCACAATATAGAACATTCTCATCTCTCCAGAAAGTTATGTCTTGTCCTGTGCCAGTCAGTCTCTCCCGTCCATCATCAGGCAACTACTGTTCTAATTTTTTTTTAAACAGTAGATTAGTTTTGCCAGTTCTAGAACTTAGTTTATATGAGTGGAATTATATGGTATGTACTCCTCTGTATCTGGCTTCTGTTCATTATTATTGTCTGAGATTCATATGTTGTATGTGACAGTAATTCATTCCTTTTTATTGCTGAGTATTGAATGCCTATATCATAATTGGTTTTTCCATTGTCTTGTTAATGGACATTTCAGTTATTTCCGGTTTTTGACTATTGTAAATAAAGCTGCTGTAAACATTCTTGTACAGGGGTTTTTGTGGATTTATGTTTTCATTGCTTTTGGATAAATACCTAGGAATGCAATTGCTAGGTCAAAGGGTAGGTGAATGTTTAACCTTATAAAAAACTACTAAACCTTTCTCCAAAGTATTGTACCATTTTGCATCCTCAGCAGCAGTGTATTAGAGTTATGATTGCTGCATATCTTCAACAAAAGATGTCCTTTCTAAGAAATCTTTGCCTACCTCCCAGCCCCCCAGGTCACAAAAATATTTTCCTATGTTCTAGAAACTTTCACTTTTAAGACTATGATTCATCTCCAATTAATTTTTATATATATGGCACGAGGAAGGGGATCAAGATCCTTTTTTTCTCTCTCTCTGCCAAATAGATATTCAGTTGTTCTCACATTTATTGAAAAGAGTTACCTTTCCTCATTGACTAGCTTTGACACCTTTATAAAAAATCAGTTGGTGGTATGAACAAGAGTCTATTTCTGAACTCTTTGTTCTGTTTCATTAATCTATTAGGTCATCTTTATGCCAATACCATACCATCTTGATTATGCACTTCTGTAGTAAATCTTAAAATCATTATTGTCTTTCTGCTTTGTTCTTTTTCAAGATGATTTTGGCTATTTTAGGTTTTTTATATTTCCATATAAATTTTAGAATCAATTTCTCAGTTTCTTCAAAAAAGCCTCATGGGTTTATGATTGGGATTGTATGGAATCTGTAGATCAGTTTGGGGACATCTAACAATATTGAATCTTTCAGTCCATGAACGTGGTATTTCTCCATTTATTTGGGTGGCATATAATTTCAGCAATGTACCAATCTTGGATGTCTTTAGTTAAATTTATTCCTATTTAATTTTTTAATGCTGTTGTTAAATGGAATTATTTTTTAAATTTTTTCAATTGTTTGCTGCTAGTATGTAAAAAGTACACTTAATTTCTGTCCATTCACCTTGTGTTTTGAGACCTAGCTTAACTCACTTAGTAATTCTAGTAGTTTCCCACTTTACAGTTTTTAGTGTAAGCAATGTGTTAACTATAAATAGGAACAATATTTTCTTTTCCACAGATTTTACATCTTTTCGTTTTCTAATTCTTTCCCCTATTGCTTAGGACATGCTTATTGATTAGGACATCAAGTTCAAAGTTGAATAAAAGTGGAGAGCAGACATCATTGCTCTTTGTTCCTTATTTCAGGATTAGTTTTTGACCATTAAGTATGGTGTTAACTCTAGATTTTTTTTTATAGATGCCCTTTATCAGACTGAGAAAGCTCCCTTCTATTTTTAGTTTGCTGAAGGTTTTTATCTGAATAGGTGTCAAATTTTGTCAAATGATTTTATTTATTTTTAGTAGTTACTGAGGTAATCATACGGTTTCTTTCTTCATAAACTGTTCCATGGTAGGTTACTGTTGAATTTTCCAAGAGTAAATCAGCCTTGCATTTCTGAGATAAACCCTTCTTGGTCATAATATATTATCCTTTTTATACACTGCTGGATTTAATTTGCTAGTATATTGTTAAGGATTTCTGCATCTATGTTAATAGGTGGTATTGGTTTGTAGTACCCTTTTTTGTGAAGTCTTTTTGTTTCCTTTTGTGGCTGGCCAGTTAGGGAATTTAGTGAAGTTTTTGTTAGCTTTTGAAAGTATCAGAATTGCAGTGGCCTTGTGTAATGAGTTGGGAAGTGTTCCATTCTCTTCTGTTTTCTGAAAGAGTTTGTATAAAATTGATATCATTTCTTCCTTAAATGTTTGGTATAGTCCATAAATGAAACCTTCTGGGCTTGGAGTTTTCTTTGTGTAGAGATTTTTTGCTTTTGTTTTAAAGATAGCTTTATTGAACTATAATTTATGTATCATAATGTTCACCCATTTTAAGTGTTCAATTGAATGATTTTAATAAATTTACAGAGTTGTGCAACTGTCACCACAATCCACTTTTAGAACGTTTTCATCACCCCAAAAAATACCTTGTGCCCATTTATAGTTAATCCCTGCTCACACCTCCACCACCAGGCAACCAGTTTTTTTTTTTTTTTTTTTTTTTTTTTTTTTTTTTTTGTCTTTTTGTCTTTTTTCGTGACTGGTAACAGGATCGCAATCCTCGGTGTTGCTCCCGCGCCTCGCTCAGCCAGTGAGCGGCCGGTCTGTATGTGGGATCCGAACCCTCGGCGGGAGCGCCGCCACACTCCCAAGCGGCGCACTGTAGCAGTGCGCCACCGGGCCGGCCTGCAACCAGTTTGTTTGATACAAGTCTATTCATAGTTTCTCTTTGATCTTGTGTCAGTCTTTTTTTTTTTTTTTTTGTCTTTTTGTCTTTTTTCGTGACTGGTAACAGGATCGCAATCCTCGGTGTTGCTCCCGCGCCTCGCTCAGCCAGTGAGCGGCCGGTCTGTATGTGGGATCCGAACCCTCGGCGGGAGCGCCGCCACACTCCCAAGCGGCGCACTGTAGCAGTGCGCCACCGGGCCGGCCTGCAACCAGTTTGTTTGATACAAGTCTATTCATAGTTTCTCTTTGATCTTGTGTCAGTCTTTTTTTTTTTTTTTTTGTCTTTTTGTCTTTTTTCGTGACTGGTAACAGGATCGCAATCCTCGGTGTTGCTCCCGCGCCTCGCTCAGCCAGTGAGCGGCCGGTCTGTATGTGGGATCCGAACCCTCGGCGGGAGCGCCGCCACACTCCCAAGCGGCGCACTGTAGCAGTGCGCCACCGGGCCGGCCTGCAACCAGTTTGTTTGATACAAGTCTATTCATAGTTTCTCTTTGATCTTGTGTCAGTCTTTTTTTTTTTTTTTTTGTCTTTTTGTCTTTTTTCGTGACTGGTAACAGGATCGCAATCCTCGGT